TACACATAGCCAAGAGTGCAGTGTCTAGAATCTTGACATCCACCATAATCTGAATCCGAAATGCAACCATCTGTGGATGTGTTGATTTTCTGTATGTAAGCATGTAGTTTCTTGGTCCTTTGAGGTATCTTAATACTTTCTTTGCAGCTTGCCAATGAGCGAGTCCTGGGTTACTCTGAAATCTACCCAGCATGCCAACTGCATGGCTAATATCAGGTCTTGTGCAAACATGTGCATACATCAAACTTCCCACCAAAGATGCATAAGGATATTTTTGCATTTCTAGACGTTCCAATTCATTCTGCGGACATTGCTTAAGAATAAATTTGTCACCTTTATGCAGAGGAACAATACTATGAGAACATGCCATCATGCCAAATCTCTCAAGAGTTTTATCAATATAAGCTTTCTAAGACAACCCTAAAACTCCAAGGGATCTATCACGAAATATTTCAGTACCGATCACGTAGGATGCCTCACCCATATCTTTCATTTCGAAATTCCTAGAGAGATAACCCTTAGTCTCATGTAATAGACCAAGATCACTACTAGCCAGTAAAATATCATCAACATACAAAACCAAAACTATGAACTTACTCCCACTGATCTTGAGGTATATACATGGATCTACAATGTTTTCTTTAAAACCGAATTTCGTAATGGTTTCATCAAACTTTAGATACCGTTGTCTCAAAGCTTGTTTTAGTCCATAAATTGATTTCTTTAACTTGCAGACCATGTCTTCCTGACCTTCGATTATGAAGCCTTCAGGTTGACGCATATAGACTTCTTCTTCTAAGTCACCATTAAGAAAGGCAGTTTTCACATCCATTTAATGTAGTTTGAGACCATACTGAGCTACTAATTCCATGATAATTCTGAGAGAATCTTTCCTTGACACGGGAGAAAAAGTCTCATTATAGTCGATACCTTCTTTTTGATTAAACCCTTTAGCTACAAGTCTAGCTTTATATCGTTTAATATTGCCATTACAATCGAGTTTGGTCTTAAAGATCTACTTACATCCAACTGATTTGTGTCCTTCAGGCAATGGAACAATATCTAAAACTTCATTATTAGCCATAGAGTTCATTTCATCCTTCATGGCATCAACCCACTTATCAGAATTAACATCCTTAATGGCTTGTGAATAAGAAACCGGATCTTTAATATTCACTTCTCCAGATTCTACTTGATAAAGTACATAGTCATTAGAAATAGCAGATCTCCTCGGACGAGTAGATCTTGTTAATGCTGGTTCCTCTTGTACTTGATTCTCATTATTAGCGACGTTTTCTTCATGGAGTGTATGATCATTCACTGGATTTTCCTCATTGTCTAACAGTTCAACAATGGGAGGATTTCCAACAACTTTGGAAGTAAGGGCAAAGGAATATGCACCCGAATTTCCTGAATGACTACATCTTGAACTTTATCACTCCCACTAATTTTTCCATTCTCAAAGAATTTAGCATTACCAGTTTCCACTATTCTTGTACTATCGGTTGGATAGTAAGTTCTATATCCTTTGGATTTCTCAGAATATAGGTAAGTTAGCATGACTCATCATAGATCTAACCATTCCCATATATGTACGGTTACGCCTTTTAGCTACACCATTCTGCCATGGAGATACATGCGTTGTGTACTGAGCAACAATTCCTAATTTTTGAAGAAGTTTGGCAAAAGGTCCAGGATGTTATCCTGTTTCATCATACCTGCCATAAAATTCACCACCTCTATCTGACCTTATAATTTTTACTTTTCTATCTAATTGTCTCTCTACTTAAGTAATGAACACTTGTACAACATCCACAGATTGAGACTTTTCATGCAATAGATAGAGATAACAATAACGTGAATAATCATCAATAAAGGTAATGAAATATTTTTCACCTTCAAAAGATGGAACGTCAAAAGGTCCACAAATATCTAAATGTATGATTTCAAGAAGTTGTGTACTTTTTGTAACACCTTTCTTCGTGTGTTTAGTTTGCTTACCCTTAATGCAATCTACACACTCTTTATTGTTGGTAAAATCAAGATTTGGAATGACTCCATCTTTTACCAATCTTTTTATTCTTTCGCTGAAAATATGTCCCAACCTTTTATGCCACAAGTTATATGAATATTTCGCACATGTTTTGCTTTTAAGTTCATCATTACCATGCAGGGTGAGATGTGTTTCGGAATATTGATCATCCAATATTAACATATAAAGACCATCAACTAATTTTCCAAAACCAATTCGATTAGATTTCATAAATAAATTGAAACAACCATCTCTTTGAGTTGAACTAAAACCAGCCAAATCAAGTTGCTTAATGAAACTAAATTATGGGAAATAGATGGAACATAAAGAGTCTGAAATAAATCCAAACAAAATCCACTATCCAAAATGAGACGATAAGTGCCAATACCTTCAACTGGCGCTTTGTCTCAATTCCCCATAAACAAGTAGTTTTCTCTTGGATTTATGGTATGGGTTGTAAGGAATCCCTGCAAGGAATTGCCTACATGTACATTAGCACCACTATCAATCCACCAAGTTTTAGAAGAAACATGAGTAAGATTAGATTCGAAAAAGCTTACGAAGCACATAGGAGTACCTTTCTTTTCAAACCATTCTTTTCTTTTAGGGCAATCTTTCTGAAAGTGGCCAGACTTCTTGCAGAAGTTGCATCTATCATCTTTCCTTGCCTTTTTCTTCTTGTTACCTTTATTAGAATCATTCATTCTGGGTTGTGCTATTTTATGGCTCACCTGATGCCTTTTCCCATCATTTGGTACACACCAATATGCTTTCCACCAATACGGCAGCTCCCACAATATGCTTTCCTTGTGCCAATTATGTTGTTTCCCATAGCCAGGCATCTTCCTTTCATGACCATTTCCACCGACATCCTTGGTTTTCGGTGGATTGACACCTTTCACCCGCTCGGAATAAACTTGTTCCCCGGTCAAAGACTCCGGTGGATACTCTCTCGAAGCGTCTTTTCCCTTCAAGAAATCTTTTTTATTCTTCCTTAGAGGATGACCATAGGGAAGAAATCTTCTATGACAATCAAACCAACACGTCTTCCTTCCATTCGGTAGGTAAAAAGACTTTGTATCATCTATGCAAACTGGACAAGACAATTTACCATGGGTGGTCCATCCAGATAACATGCCATACGCCGGAAAGTCGCTTATCGTCCACATAAGCACTGCTTTTAAATTAAAATTTTGACTCAACGACACGTCGTATGCATCGACTCCAATAGACCACAACTCTTTTAACTCCTCAATAAGTGGTTGAAGAAAGATATCAAGACTAGCTCGCGGATGATTAGGCCCTGAATTCAGAATTGTCAGAAACAAGTACTCTGTATCCATGCACATACCAGGGGGTAGATTATATGGAGTTAAGATCACAGGCCATAAAGAATGATTACGGGACATGCCAAAAGGATTGAACCCATCGGTACATAATCCAAGATACACGTTTCGGGGTTCTTCAGCAAACTGGGGATGTTGGTCTTGAAAATATTTCCACTCAGCCGCATCTGAAGGATGACTCATTTCTCCATCCTTTGCTTGACGCTCGACATGCCATCTCATTGCTGCTGCAGTCTTGTGACTTTGATACATTCGCTTCAATCTGTCTGCAACAGGTAAATACCACATACGACTATATGGTATCTTTGTTCGACGTCGGTTTTCATTAGGCTTCCATCTTTCATGATCACAAAAGAGACATTTATCTTCTTTTTCGTAATCTTTCCAGAATATCATACAATTGTTGATACAAACATCAATTGTATGATATGGGAGCCCTAAATTGCGCATTAATTTTTCTGTCTCGTAATGTGAACCGGTAGCTTGGTTTCGTTCTGGTAAATACTCACTTAACACATCACATACCGAATCCACACACTTTTCACTCATATTATAATCTACCTTATTCTGCATCATTCTAGCAGCTAAAGATAATTGAGAGTGACCTTCACGACAACCTTCATATAGCGGATTTTTAGCACTTTCTAACAAGTCGTAAAATTTCTTTGAATGGTTATAAACCGGTTCTTCTACATTATAATAACTATCATCATGTTGATGATAACTCATGTAATTATCATTAGGAAATGCATCATTCACCATATCCACATATCTATCTTCTACATTACCCACTTCTTCTCTCCCACTTATATACGTCGCATCAACATAACTCGTTCCTAAATTCATGTTGATTTCTTCCCCATGCTTATACCAAACATAATAATCTTCCATAAACCCATAACTAAATAGATATTTCCGAATTCTAGCCCCAGGAATACGCCTATCATTTCTGCATTTACTACATGGACAGTAAAACTTACCCCCATTATCTTGTGCTAAAGGCTGCAACTACCCCCGCTCTAAATTCTTCTGAGAAGTTTCCCGTCTCTTCGTCGATCCTCTTATACATCCACTCTCGAATATTATTATAATTTCTAGCCATTATTGAAAAGCTCTCAAATCTCGTTTTTTTCTTCTTATTTTTGGTTGTTTGTGTTGTGAATGAATGAAGAGAATTATGGATCGAAACTTTCTTATATAGACAATTTAGCGACTGCTTAGCCACTATTTAGCGACTATGTAGCGACAACTTGTGTAGTCGCCAAAAACCAGTACACCTACCACTCCTCGTGCTCACCTACCACGAACGAAAAAAACTTGTTTTTTTTTTGCGTTAGTTTTACGATTACATGGCGACCATATTACGACTCGCCGCAAGAATCGCAATTCAGTCGCTATTTTGCGACTATTTAACGACTCGTCCGATTAGTCGCTATGTAGTCGGTCAATTAGCGACTACATAGCGACTATTTCACCGTTTCCTTTACTTAGTCATAAAACAGTCGCCATTTTACGACTACATTAGTGACTGCAAGTTTCAGTCGCCGTTTAGCGACGAATTACCGACTACATCTACGTAGTCGTAACAAAGTCGCGACATAGTCATAAAATAGTCGCCAAATTTAGCGACTGCGTTTGTAGTCGCCAACTGTAGTCGTAAATAGTCTGTTTTCTTGTAGTGCACCATGGGCATAATGGACAACTTTTATACCTTCACGGTCAAGTCTAGATTCCTCTTGTACCAATTTATTAGCCAATTCATTAGACGTCCACTTTTGAGTTATGGCGTTGTAATGAATTTGGAATGGCCCATATTGAGGAGGTACAGAGTTTAGGATAAATTGGAAAAGAAATGAATCATCCACACTCATTCCTAAACCCTTAAGCTTAGCCGCAAGGTTAATCATATCCATGCAATGATCATGCATAGACCTTGTGCCATCATGCTTCATAGTGGTAAGATCTGCCATAAGTTTCCCAGCAAGGGATTTGTCTGCAGTCTTAAATCGTTCTGCTAGTGTATCAAGATAAGCCTTAGCTTTTTCACTAGGTGGAAGGGAAGATTTGATGTTACTAGCAACTGTCATGCTAAAGAACATAATGCTCAGTCTGTTCGATCTCTCCCAAGCCTTATGGAGAATTTTTTCTTCCTCACTACTAGTGTCAGTAAGTGGACTTGGCTCCTCTTCATGAAGTGCCAAGTCCAAATCTAGTACTTCTAATGTGAACTCAACTTTCTCTTTCCATTTTGAGAAGTTGGTTCCAATTGAGGGTTGGAACATTAGAGACCATGGATGACAAGTTATCAGGAAAAGATGCTGTAAAATTTTCAGCTAAATATTGTAATCAGCTAAAGTGCTCCAATCTTTAAGCTGTTTTCCGCCAAATATCAGCCTTTGTCGTTCAAAAGGAATTCGTTACTTGGCTTGGATCTTAGATTTAACATTAATAATGGTGTCTAAGCTCTCAACTTGCAGGGTAATGGTTTTATCGGTGCGGGTGTAACATCAATAGGTCTTAACGAATATCTGCATATCATGGCTAATACAAGGGACAATGTGACGAACAAGTTTGAGGGTTGACTTGTTCTGGATGCGGTAATATTCAAGACTTCGGCCATCCATGAGCTCTGTATGAAGAAAAAGCAGTTTATGCTGGTCCGGGGGTAAATTTGCCTCATCTTGAATCTCCGCCTTGACATCGCCAATCAAGTCTGAGCTCTCAACCTCTAGGGTAATAGTTTCACCGAGAAGGAATTCATCTTCAAAGGTCTCGACGGATATCTGCATACGACGGGGATAACGAAGGACAAGGTGAAGTGTTGACTTTTTCTGGATGCCGTAATCCACAAGAGTTAGGTCATCCTTGAGCTCTTTACCGAGAAAGATCAGCCTTTGCCGGTATGGAGGGATCCTTTCTTTATCTTGGATATTGGCCTTGACGTTACGGATGGTGTCTGAGCTTTCAACCTCGAGGGGTATGGTCTTCCCCGAAACATACTTCACAAAGATTTGCATACCACCTCTCAACTTTAGAACCAAATGGAGAGTTGACTCTTTCGGAATGCTGTAATCAGCCAAGGTACGACCATCCTCGAGCTGTTTACCGGCAAAGATCATTTGTTGCTGGTCAAGAGGGATTCCTTCTTTATCTTGGATCTTTTGCCTTAACTTTGTGGATCATGTCGGAGCTTTCGACCTTAAGAGTTACGGTCTTGCCTGTAAGACTTTTGACAAAGATCTGCATACCACCTCTCAACCTCATAGCCAAGTAGAGAGTTGAGTCTTTTTGGATATTGTAATCAGCCAAAGTAGGACCATCATCAAGCAGTTTACCGGAAAAAATAAGTCTTTGCTGATCTAAAGGAAAACCTTATTTGTCCTGTATCATTGCCTTGACATTATGTATGGAGAAGGAGGTTTCAACATCAAGTGTTATGGTCTTTTCTGTAAGAGTCTTTGCGTAGATTTGGATTGTCATCTGTAAACAATTTTTTTATTTTTTATTTAATTGGGAGAGAACAATCTCAACGGAGGATTCTGAATGGTTGGAACCAAAAAGATCAGACCAAAAAAAAAGATTGAAGAGAAGAGATCGGAGAAACAAGTACCTTGAGAGCAGGAAACTTCTGCAGAGCGTGGAAGATTTGAGTAAGAGAGGCTTGAAACTAAATTTTATGACTGAAAAATCGGATAATATCTAATTTTGGACTTTAATTCAAATGTTTTATCTGTTATTTAAAATAATTAGATACTAGGTTCGGACCCGCGCTACAGCGCGGAGGAAAATTACCGGTTTTATTGGTTTAATCAAGAATTTTAAAATCGAGTATACAGTTATAGAAGATCAAATAACCCGATCTGAATTCCTTTTTTATTTCTCTTTTAATATATAAGAGATATAATTCTTTGATAAAGCTTATTCGTATTAAATTTGATTTAATCAATATTTGAATAGTATATTTTGTTAATAAGACTTTGTATAAACCATCGCAAAAATTTGATTTACTCATACGACCCGTAATTCACTAAAACTGAATAACTTTTCCAGATAATTTCAAATTATATTTATGTAAGATTTGGTATTACATTGTATTTGGTTTTAGCTAAGTGGTGGGTATTTGAATTTATTGAGGTATGAAGTTGGTTTTAGCCTAGGGTCATTGTTTGGGTATAAAAAGGTTGCAGGAGAATAGTTGGGGTCGATTTTGGCCAATTTTCCTTATATATATATATATATATATATGATTAATAAATTATGAAAGAATTCAGTATATGTTTCATCTGTCAAGGTAAATGTGACTACACTCTTAGCATTTGCATAACCATATTCCCCATCGACAAAGTTGATTTCGCGCATATCAGAAACGTCTGACACAATACCACTTGCATTTGTATTGAAATAGTAACACATTATCACATAATTTAACTAAAATTAATTATAGTGGAGTACAATTTAGTTTTATAGTAAGTTAATAAACATAAAAATATAAAAATACATACCAACACAGTATTTGCGGTCCTCCTCATTTGCAACGTCAATTTTTATCGCGGAAGTGAAATTGAAAAATTGACTATCGATTAACGAAGGCAGTTCATGCATAGTTGTCTCGTGCACCATTGTTATTGTGAGATGATGGTGTGAGTTTTTAATAGATAAACTATTATCAAGTACCTGGAAGTTAGTCAATTGATAACATAAACCATCACGAAGACGATTATGGAAAGGAGATGCATATCTGATGAAGGGTATTGTAGCCTAATTGTAGCATCAATCCTACAACCCTGAAATAAACATGATAGATGAAGATATAGTTGAGAAGGATACATACTTAAATAAATAAATAATCTTGTCGGAAAGAAAATAAACTGCGGGTATACCTTATCATCAATAGGCAAAGATTATCAAATCTAAAACACTTCCTAATCTCAACTTTCATTGATGAACATGCAGTAGATAGGCATAAAAAACAAGCTCATTAATGTCAATCTACTCCTTAACAGCCATTAGGAAGTGTTTGTAAATAGATCTCTAGTATTAGTGGATGAGACATTCCATTGAACACTTTTTGAGTGCTGGAATGTCTAAGATCTAATTATACATGGTTAATGCTAACATTAGCAATTAAATCTCCTAATCCAGAAGGTATCTACCTGACTCTATACTTAAGCATCCCTAGAAACTAAGATTCCTCATCACTTAACCCATCTTCTAAACCCATAAAACTACTTAGATCTGGAATTCATAATGAAGAACATAAACCCAGAAATTGATAAATCATGCATAACTAGATAGATAATGAATTAAGGAGCAAGATAATATAAAGAACCAACACTAAAAACTCAATAGATCAAAAGATATTAAGATTATAAGTTTCAGGAAATGTTTGGTGGCTACAAAGAAAAACCCTAATGAAAACTGGATTTTTGGCTTAATAACCCAATGTCTCTATTGTAAGCCATAAAACAGAAAAAGACAAATTACAAAGTCGGTTTGAAAATGCAATATGATATGCTCTGAAGTGTCCGAGTGTACCTGTTTTTACTCTAAAATGCAAATGATATGCGAATGCCTATGCTAAATATCCTATATGTGAAATATGAAAGAAAAGGGGTTGATACTTAGTAGAAACAAGACCTTAAACATGCAAACAATGCACAAAACATATGATTAAAAGAGTAGAAATATGAAGTTATCAGCTGAACCTTCAAATATATATAATAAAAAATTATTAGTTAAAGATATACTAGGGATGGACCGCACATACGTGCGGAGTTGATTTCAAAAACTAAGTTTATTATAAATTTTGCAATATTTGGATTGACATGATATGAGACCCGGATCGAGTGTGAACCGAATTAGTGATAAGTTAGAAATCAATTAAATTTGTGAACTATCACACCAGATAAAAACAATGAAAAAAATTAAAACTTTTGAATAAAATTACCTAAATATAGATATTTAGAGAGTCAAGCCCGTTTACTATGCATGTCCTGGAACGAATTAAAATATTTTGGCCCACCCACATAAATATAAAAAATTTTCTTTTGCTTTCCCGTTACCCATAATTTCCTTATGTATATTATTAAAAATAATTACGATAGTAAATTTTATTTTCTAAATTATCCATTCTTTTTCCGTATTCGTTATTTCTTGTCATGATATTTGAAATATTTAGGAAATTTGAAACTTACTTTTGCTATTTAAATTTCATATACATGTATCATACCAGTCGTCATTTGATATTTGAAATTTGAAATTGAATTTACCTTTCCTAATTTTTCTATATCGTCTTGTTTTTGATGAAAAATAGTTTAAATAATTTTTTATTTTATTTTTCGAATTACCGTCTGTTCCCTTTTTGTACCCGTTCTTTCCCTATAAGATAACATCATATATATATATATTTTTTGAATAATAACATCATATATTTTTTTTATATAAATAACACCATTTACAATCTATACTATTAAAAGGGGAGCACTTTTTGTAAGTGTTGCCAAACAGAATTAAAAATTCGAAATGAAATAAAATGTAATCTCAACCATGTAGCCAAACAGAATTAAAGACAGCAAAAAATAATTAAAAAATAATAATAATAATAATAACAATCTATATTATTTCCATAATATAGATTTGGTTACCATAAAATTAGACAATTAAATTCGAAATTAAACATATTTCATCTAAATTATATATTTTTTTGATATTTTTAAAAACAGTAATTTATGTTTATAAAATTTAATAAAAAATTTATTATATATTTTAGAAAAAATGATATTTTAGGAAAAATAAAAAGAAAAAGAAATATGTAATCTTAAATAATAATTACATTTTATGTAAACTTAAAAGTTATATAATCTTAAAAACTAATTGCATTTTACGTAAACCCAAATTTGTAGTCAAATACCCTTAAAACATATCTATCCAATATTTTTTAAAGAAATTCAGATTTTAAAATTGTAAAAATCTTCTGTTTAGATCTTCCCAACTAAATTTCTGCAGGTTATTTTAAAAAAATAATCAATATAAAGAAAATCTTTTAAAAATAATCTTAATCTTCATTAATTAGAACATATTATATAACAGCTCAATCAATAAAATATTAACTATATTTGAGATCGTTTAAATAGTTAGCAATATAAAACTTCAGAATATGAATCTTATATACAAGTTTAAATGTACTAACCATATTTTGAATTATTTGTATAAAAATTAATTAACTATGGCTATTTATCAAATGTGCACACAATAATAATTACCATCACCTAAAATATAGATA